TTATGTTTTTGTGTGTGCATTGTCGAACTGGATCCGACTGGTATAGGAGGAAACCGCCCTTCCTTCTCCAGTGGAGCATCTGGTGGATTTGAAATGCATGCCTTTGGGACTGCAGCAGTTTCCTGCACTAGGCCACGAAAGCTCACTTGGATATGTTGTTGTTGGTGTGTACCACTGAGTTGCAACCACCCAGCTGGCGGGTTTTCAGAGGCAGTTAATCACACGGGAGGAAAGGCCCATTCCTTCAAACTGCTTGCCTTAGGGATCGCAGTGCAGCTTCTCACCACTAGGCCAGTAAGTCCATATTTAAATCCAAGATGATTTATTACATTCATAAAAATTCAATGAATTATTGAATAAAACAGTTTTTATAATTACCTGAGAAAGACCTGGCTGGAAGCCTTGCTGTTGAGCCAAGGATGGTGGAGCCAATCTTGCGTGCTGGGTATTGAATATATGAGTTGTGTCCACATAGAAAGCTGGCATTTGTGTTACTGGTTCCCCAGAAAAAGAAGAGATTAAAGGTTAGAATTTTCAAGGAATAAATACAAACCAACATTTACAGCAGTTCTGAAACACAACCAGGTAACATGTAGTTGAAAATTAGTATCCTATCCCACTCACTGCCACGGAGCCATTCTGATTGATGTTGTACAACCATCCCTTTAGGATTTGGAAGGCTATGATAATCTTTATAGATTCATACTGCTACAGTTTTATCACACAGAACAGCTGATAAGTTTGAACTTCCAATCTTTGAGTTTAGCAGTCATGTGCTTTAATCATAATACCACTAAATTCCTTAAATATTGATCTGAGAAGTGGTGGGGTAACTCACTCACTAGAGTACAAGCATATACAAATTAAACAAATCTAATGCTTGCCTCTGGAAACTCTATGTACAAACTGTGCTCAGGCCATTCGTTCATAGGGTCTCTATGAGTCGTCTATGACTCAATGGCACCAAACAACAACAACAGTGCCTGTAAAGTACAAACATTCTCAAATACTGCCAACAGGGCATAAATAGATATTATATATTATCTGTTGAATTTGAAAAGGAACTTATCCTTTGAAATAGTACGTCCTCTCCAATTTTAAATTCACCTATTAGAACTCACCAACATTTCATAATGAAAAGTCTGATACAGATTCTTCCAGATTTCCTTCCTATGAATTATGTATATTGTTTTGTGACCTGCAGTCTTATGTTCTGGAGTATTTCTCATATTGTACTGTGAAGCCAATCCGTAGGCACACAGTTCAGATACATCAGCTGTTCCACAGAATCAAGCTCTCCTATGCAATTTATGCCTTTGAAAACCCACAGGAGGGCCAACTATGAGTTAGCTCAGATTTGATGGTCTCAACCAGCCTATCTCTCTCTCTCCATCCATCCATCCATCCATCCATCCATCCATCCATCCATCCATCATTTATATAAATTTAACAAGATTATTTAGTTATGAAACTGCTACCATAGTATGTCCATTTAAAGTTTTAAAAATATCTTCATCTCAAAACAACTATGAGATATCATCTCACCCCAGTCAGAATAGCAAAATTTAACAGAACAGCATGCAACAAATGCGGGTGAGGTGATGGAGAAACTGGTACCCTTATTCACTGTTAGTGGAAGTGTAAAATGGAACAACCACTGTGGAAGGAGGTATGGCGTTTTCTCAAAAAGTTGCAAATAGAGATACCATTTGACCCAGCAATTCCAATACAGGGAATATACCCCAAAGAGACCATAACGGACATCCAAGCAGATATATGCACACCCATGTTTATTGCAGCTTTGTTCACAATAGCAAGGAGTTGGAAACAACCCAAGTGCCCATCAGCAAACGAATGGATAGAGAAGCTATGGTTTATTCACAAAATGGAATACTACGCTGCATTAAACAAAGAACTCATGCAATATTATTCAAAATGGGTGACCCTGGAGGACATTATGCTGAGTGAAGTGTCTCAGTCACAAAAGGACAAATACTGCATGGTGCCACTGTTGTAAAACAGGACTGACAGGGGTTAGGAGGAGACTGAGAAAGATGTGTTTAATAATGCATACTGCATTGAAACAGATGAGGGAGAAAACTGTTTAAAAGGGATATGTAATTGGATTCCTAGGTATTATTGTCAAGACAGGAATCCAGAGTGAAGGCTGCACAATGGAGTGGACCTGGGGGAGGCTTTGTAAAACAATGAAAGAATTTTTCTTTTACATTTCCAAGAGGGTAATAGTGTACTGGGGGGAGGGTGGGGAGGGGAGAAAAGTGCAACAATGAATGACTAGAAATCCAAAGTCTCTAAATTTTCATTGAAATTAATAATAAATTAAAACACCACCACCACCACCACCACCACAGCTAAAAACAAGGGGAAAAAAATTAATCACAAAAAAATTTTCATTTAAAGATTTTTGAAATATATCAGTCTACGTATCTTTATAGATCCTGAGTATGAAGAGATAACAGATATTATAATCTTAGAACACATCCCAAACAGAAAGGCAAAAAAAAAAAAAAATTCTTCACTATTAACTGAATTTGAATCATTACAGGCTGAATATTTTTCAAATATTTACTGATAATTTTATTTGAGCTCAATAAGGCATTTATTTAATTATATATTGGAAAAATTAGCAAAGCAGACAAAACCTACATTTAAATTTGAAACATTAACTAAAAGTGGGGAATGGGGGGAAATTTCAGTTCCCAATAAGTCTTCAATCCTATAAATATTACCTGCTGCCGACTGAGACACATAGACCTGTGGACTCTGTTGCTGCTGGGCAATAAGCGAAGGCATGCAGCTTAACTGTGAAAAATGACTTGCAGAAGGCAGGCTGCTTGTCTGTAACTGTTGGGGTTTCACTTTGCAAATGTTAGGAGGGTCAGATGTGGTTGTTGATTTTGTACTCAGGGAAGAGGTAGTGTATGTACCAGCTCCT